GCAGATTCAAGCGTCTGTATGATACTGAGTAAATTAGTCTCAGAAATATAGCCCCTAATTAGTTTAACGCCCGCATAAGATGGCTGCGTAAGAGTGATCAGCTTTGCACTGGATACCTTTAGAAGAACCGGAGACGAATGTCTGTTTAGATGTGCGCAGTTGTTGAAGTTAAAGAGGAAGTGTGACGACACGAAGCTTTCATCATATCGTACTAGTAGTTACTCGTTTAAACTGCAACATGACGGATACGCTTTAGTCAATGTCGTATTATGCTAAGAATCTAACACTGAGTATCTTATTTATATATAGACAGAGCTGACACGCTCGTAATGGTTTATCCTAATGCCCTGGACGTTATTTTTATCCAAAATAAACGATATATAACTTCTAATAAGCAAATGACCATTAATAAAACTTCAAGTGTTGGCAGAAAACATAAGTATATATGTATAAGACATTAAAGGCATCAGACCCGTTACCAAATCTAACCAAAATTATAAAAAAAACAGCACACTAGTGGCATCAATTTACTACATTAAAGGAAGCTATCAACGTTTTTGACGCTGCAAATCACTATCCAAACCATCTCAAAAGAAAATACAAAACTTAAAAACTTATATATTTATATTTATCTAAAATTCTTCTAAACGTACTTGATTCCTTATTTCTTAAAGTAAACAAACGGATAGATAGAAACATCAGATGTTGTATTAAAATGCAATGCAACAGCTGTTACACAAATGCCTTGTGATTGCCTTTTCATTTTAAGAAAGTGTAGATAAACATGCTTTTAAACAAAAATGAATACTTATTGAAACATTAACATAGTTGCTGAGTTTATAATAACCAGTGAATGGAAATCATTAAAAGTTATTTCCAAGTATTTCGATTACTAACTTTATTGATAGGGGTGAGCAAGAATCTACTAATTGACCTGTCACCAAAGTCAGCGCGTGATCACGTGATTTTAGTTGGACAACCTCTTAGACGGTCCAGTGATACCCGTCTTAAGGGACATCGCAAAAGAGAGCAAGTAAATTTTGGCAGTAAATTATTCCATAATCCGGACATAAAGGGCTATTTGAAAAAAAATGCACTAAAAATGCAAATTACTATTCCCCTAACACAAGTTTTCACTTAAAGTGAAGATGTTCTGAAAGCTGTCGTTTTTTTTTTTCATGAAATGATGACGAATGGAAATACTTATCTTTCATACAAACATATTTCCTGTCCCATGTTTTCCAAGAGGAATCCCCATCAAATTTGTACAAATTTGCAAAAGAAGCATTTTCGCCATTGCTCTGGTGTTACCCAAATGTAATACATTTTCATTCCTTATCATTATCACTCTACATTTGTAAAACAGTTTGCAAAATATGTAAATAAATATATTAAAATAGATACATGTACCATTATTGAACAATTTTTAATAGAATTTGCTTCTCTTGCAATGAATGTGACTTATTTGTCTCTATATGACAAAGGATGACACATCTCGTTTTGTTCAGCTCGCGTTAAACCGAGCACATCATGCTGTCTCCCGGCAATAAATCTTACCATGTATATCATGTATATGATCACATATATATATTCTTATTTGACGTGTACCTTTCATAGATAAGTTCAACTCAAGTTGATTCAGATCTTAAAAACAAAACAAAATATGATTATTTTTTTTGAAAGTGACGATATCAATACATATGGTAGAAATATTACTGAAACCTTATATATGACAGAGCTAAAAAATCAAATAATATAGAACACTGGAACAAATACAAAACATTAAGAAACAAAACAACTCACCTACTTAGAAATGCAAAAACGGATTATACTAAACAATTATCAGAAAAAATAAAAGGAGAAAATTTAAATACAACAGATTACTGGAAAATTCTCAAACAATTCATTAAACCAACATTAAATAGTAAAATTAAGATTTTGAATGATAATGGCACCATATTGACTTCTGACACTGAAAAAAACAAATTTACTTAACCAATTTTTCCAGTGACAATCCTCACTTGATGATAAAAACAAGTCTTTACCAAACTTTCATGTACATCAAAATGTTAATAAACTTGACACAATAAATGTAACTTATGATGAGGTACGTGATACTCTTAAAACTCTCAATGTTGTTAAAGCATCAAGACCTGAAAATATCAACAATAGGATACTGAAGGAATTGTCAGAAGAACTCTCTGTACCTCTCTGTCATCTTTTCAGAAAATCATTAACAACTTGTAAAGTCCCTTCACAATGGAAGCATGCCAATGTATGTGCAATCTACAATAAAGGTGACCTCTCATTTTTTCTAATTACAGACCTATTTCACTTCTTAGCACGATCAGCAAATCTTTAGAAAAAATTATACATAAGCATATATTCAATTTCTTTGTTGCTAATAACACAATAACTTCATTACAATTTGGGTTTGTTCCCAATTACTCAACAACCAATCAACTTGTTTCTATATATTATACATTTTGCAAAGCCCTTGATGATGGAAAAGAAGTGAGAGCTGTCTTTTGCGATATTTCAAAAGCCTTTGATCGTGTTTGGCATAAAGGTCTCGTATTCAAGCTTCAGTCTGCTGGAATAAATGGTGGGCTTTTAAATTGGTTTAGTGACTATCTCAGTGATAGAAAACAAAAGGTGTTTTTTCCAGGCGGTTCCTCTCAAACCGTTTTTATTTCAGTCGGAGTTTTTCAAGGGTCCATTCTAGGCCCTCTTTTCTTTTTAATCTATATGAATGACATTGTTCTTGTCATTAACTCATATATCAGACTCTTTGCAGACGATACAAGTTTATATATTATTGTTGATAATCCACTTCATGCTGCGGAGACTCTTAATTCTGATCTGAAAAAATACAGAATGGGCAAATGGTTGGCTAGTATATTTCAACCCAAGTCAAACGGAATCAGTAAAAATCTCTCGTAAAGTACACAAACCATATCATCCCCCATTGACAATGAACGGAGTGCAAATAAATGAAGTGACCTCACACAAACATCTTGGAGTAACATTTTCAAATGATGGAAATTGGCATTCCCACATACAAAATATTACCAAAAAAGCCTGGCAAAGAATTTATATTATGAGATCTTTGAAATTCATTCTTGATCGTAAGTCAGTTGAAACTATTTATCTCTCTTTCATTCGGCCCCTTCTGGAATACTCGGATGTTGTTTGGGACAACATAACTCAACAAGATGAATTTGAACTTGAAAAAATCCAACTTGAAGCCTGCAGAATAATAACCGGTACAACAAAACTAGTTTATACATGTATCTCTAATCTTTATGAAGATACTTGCATCCAACCCCTTAAGGTAAGACGCTTCAAACACAAACAATTTGTTCTTGATAAAATGTTCAATTCTCTTTCTCCTCATTACCACTCTTCATTAGTTCCCGATACAGAAGTAGAATCTTCAGATTATAATTTACGAAATGCAGACAACACTAGAAATATATTTTGTCACACACAACTTTATTCTCATTCATTTTTCCATCATCAATTAAAGACTGGAACAAAATTCCTGTTAATTACTGAAATTCACCATCCATTTCAATTTTAAAAAATGACTTAATGAAGATGTCCAAAGTGTGCCTTCTCATTATTATGTAGGTGAGAGAAAATACCAGATTATACACACAAGACTTAGAACACATTGTAGTTCTCTAAAAGAACATTTGTTTTCAAAAAACATAATAGAAAGTCCCCTATGTGAATGTGGCGACATAGAAAACACATCTCATTATTTCTTCTCGTGTCCAAGGTACAAAGATGAACGAAATGTCATCCTTAACAATTTAAGTGAAAAAACAACTGTCACACTTAACGTTTTACTCTATGGTGATAATTCAATTGTTGAAGATTTAAATGAAGCAATAGTCCTTCATATAAACTCAAATTTACACAGAACAAAACGTTTTGAAATGTAATAGAAAGTTATTATTTCGACTAATATGAAATAGAGATTTAAATGCATAATATCTTTGTGTTTTCTTTCTTTTTCTTTCTCTCAAATCTGTCTCTAACTTCCTACCTCCTATTACCCAACAGTTTCAAAAATTAACTTACGTTTCCATATCTATATTTTTCTTTAATTTTATTAAACATGTTTAAATGTTACATTATTTTTCTTGATAAGTTTAAACGTGCTAATTTGTGCATTTATCACTTACGTGTATTCACGCTATAGAGTTATTGGGTTTTCCTTCACATTATTATGTCTATATTTCATTATTAAGGTCGTTTCGATTAAGGAAAAGCATAGTGCAAATTGCTAACTTTTTTGTACATGTAAAGAAGCAAGTTTATAGTGAAAATGTTATGTATATTTAACACAAAAATGCATATAATTGTTACCATTTTACATACTCTTTGAGATAGTGATTACGGAAAGAAATTCTAAAAACGCTTTTCAAGCTTCCTACTCAATCCGTACTGTGTATTATTTGTCAATTATCATATAAAAGTAATGCTTATAAATAAAACATTGTTTAAACTAAAAATGCAAAGTGTTATAATTAAATAATAAAACATATATGACCTGCACAGCCAATTAAATTATAATGCAGTGTTTTTCTATTTGAAAGACCTTGCATAATCGTATGACCGATTAATATTATTAATTATCGCCGTTTCTATGACAAATTGAATCATAAGATTACATTATATGATATCGTAAGGTATCAATATTATAAGAAAAATATTTGTAACAAACTTTACAGAAAAGAGTAATATTGGATACTTTCTAGATCTAGGTAAACAAAAATCAGTGTTTGAGGTAGTTTGATCCATAGTAAATTCTGAAAACAAAATATCTATATGAAGATGGGAATCGGACCAGAGAGAAAGAAGCCTTTGTTGGACTTCCATAGTTTACCTGTGTTTCTAATAACTGATTGGTCAAAATCTACCGTGTTGAAAATTACGTCATGTGTAAGATTGATACAGGTAATAGTCAGTTTAAAGTGTGTTATTTGAGCAGACGCTCGTGTTTACATTTTATGGGTAGAAGAGTTACAATTACAATTTATATTATTATTTAATATGGACCGTACATTGTCAAACATTAATAAGCTTTAGAGGATGACAGAATGTCAGGCACATACTTGGAAGATAGGTGAGTTTATTGCTCATGTATTGTTTATCATTTTGATAAAAAAAAGAACAACCAAAAACGAAACAAAAACAGTTATTTAAAGAAATAAAGGGGGGATTTTTCTTTAGTAATTATGCCATTATTCTGACATGAGACATTACATGTTTTATGTGTAAAATATGATGGGGAAAAACAACAATATTCAAGTGTTATTTCAAAATTAAAAGTAAAAATGTACATCATAACTGAAAACTTGTGTTAAGGAAATAGATATCAATTCTGAGTGCATTGTTGTAGAATAATACACGGTTTGAGTTCAAATGCGCAGTAATATATAATCACGAAGGCCGATAAGCCTGAGTGATTTATTACAAAAGCATTTGAACGAAAAACGTGCGTTATTATACAATAATACACGAAGAATTAATATCTATTTCCATTCTAAAACGTCAAGAAAAAATAAAATTATTATTATAAAATTGGACTTTATGTTTGGTGGTTAAATTTGTTTTTGCCTCAGAGTTTCCAATAGAAACGTTCTTTAAAGGTTGTTCCAGTGGGTTGAAAAAAACTGTCATTAAATCTTCCGTTTGTAGAAACATTTTGAGAATATCGAATTTTGAAAACGTTGATAATACTTTGTGTGTTTATTTTATTCCACTCTATAATTTTCAAGCGAAATACAAATTATCAAAAGTGAAATAAATGTAAAACTTAACTCGTTTCCGACAATAAAATAGCGTTCTTGATTTGATCGTTTCGCTCGTGCTTTTTGGCGCTACATGGTGACGTCACGTTAACAACACTTTAAACGTCTTTACAGCGTTAACGACTGAATTAAAGATATTGGTGTTCGGATTCATTTTCTTAGTTAGACCATTTTCATTCATTCTACATAGTTTTCACAACAACATTCGACAAAAAATTGCTTTTTATTTAAACAAAATGGCGCCCTCAATGTGAAAATACACAGGGAGATAATAAGAAAAGCGAGTGCATATGTTGTAGAATAATGCACGCTTCGGACCTTCTATGTTTAAATAGAAACATTTCCGATAGTGTTAGAATTTAGTTTTTAGATTGGTCGCAATGTAATTATACGAGTACAAACGCTTAAACTGTAACAATACTTGTATACATTGACAAACATAGGCACAATAGTTATTTTAGTGACATGTAATTGGACTTAAAGTTACAACTCTTAATCAAAAAGAAATATTAAGAGTTATTTAATGTATCATTTCTTGTAAACATTGACAAACATATACATATTTAATTGTTTATTATTTGATTTGCCATGGGACTAAAACTCTTAATAAAAAAACAATTATTTAGAACTATTTAATGGCAGGTACAGGGGATAAATTCATGGAAGGGTTTACATTTGATTTTTTTATTTATATATCCGTATATACTTCTGGTATCAGTCTTCCTTGGTATAGTTGCTGCTAGTTTTAAATTTGTCATATCTAGCAACGCTTAGCTTGTCTTATAAATATTTCCAAAATATATATATGGCATATAATGGCACATAATTATATTAATTCGTTCAAATCATTATTGTTAAAAAGCCTATTCAACTTGGGGATGTTTGGATGTTGTTGATAAAATATTTATATGTGTTTATGTCTTGTTTCGTTGGTTGCATTCAAGCACATAGTGGAACTCATTTCAAGTTTGATTTTCATTACATAAAGTCCTTTTCTATCATTAATGTGGGTACTATTCCATCTTGATTTATAGTTCTAAAGGCCATACATATTCAACTAAAACTATGTGGTAAAATGTGAAAATATTTACTAATGATAAAGTTAGGTTTAAATATTCTGTAGTTTTATATGCTGCTAGTAGATTTTTAGTTACTTTATTCCAAGGCTGTATATATTGATCATTTACTCTCTGTTTGAATGACAAAGCAAACCATTTACCATTTATATTTTTAGATCAGTCCAAAATTACTGTATCCATTTTTACAAATAACTTCTTTTACAATATGTATCAATTTTGAATTAAGAGGCCCTTGTTCTTGAAGATTTAAGCTGATCCTGTATGATATTATTTTTGTTTTAATTTATATATCCTAATTCACCATAATGCATATGTGAGGGTGTTGATTTTTTAATTGCAAACAAGTTTATAATATTTTAGCTGTACCCTTCCACGGTGTCAATATTTCCTACTCCCCAAATTTTATATCCATATATAATAATAGAATTCGTTTTATAATTTCATTGATCGATTTTTAGGTCATATGGTAAATCCAGGTGGCCTATTTTTTTTCAGAAGTGAGAACATAGTCTTATAAGCTTGTTATACAATGTATTTTTTGCCTGTAGAAAACGTTCAAGCTTTTTTGGAGAACATCACTATCATTACTAATTAGGACAGTATCATCAGCATATAGAATAATAAAAAGTTTAAAAAGAATTGACATATCCATATGATATCCATATGATTAATTTTTCATTCATTACCATATAGGCCACTTGCTTCAAAATAGATTTTTAAATAATTCAAAATAATCAGAACAGAAAAGGTTATGAATTTTCACCTAATCTTACGCTATTTAAACATGAAAAATATGCAGATGTTCCGTATAAAAGGCATTTTCCATTGATTTTACTATTAAACATTTTCATCCATTATCACATATATCTAGAGATAATAAAATGTCTACAACAAAATGATATTTTTCATCATATTAACAAATTTATCATCATTTTTGTGTCAAGCAACAATTATAAGAATATCCAAATGATACATTTCTATGGTTTGTATAAATATATAAAACTGCCCATTGTATTTGTATCCACCTAAATATTCAATTACCCTTTTTTCTAAAAAACAACAACACAAATAATACGGGGTTGTAAAGCATGGCGAAACGGTATATATTTAAAGTTTCAATGTTAAGGTAATATTCGAATCACAATGATATATTACCTTAAACATTTTATACTCTCATCATTTGCGAAAGTTGACTTCTATTATGTTTGCATGAAATTGCATCGTACGACTTACAATATCCAAATTAACGAAAAATTATATTGTAAACAAATACGAAATTGAAAAAATAAATTAGACAACCAGAGTAATGAAAAAAACCTATTTGTTGCGCGCGACTTTCAAAAGACCTTGTATTTCCTGATGCTAAGGCAGAAAGACGGACAGATATATCTGCATGTTTTTATCTTTACACGTGTTTATACTCGTATAGTCTTTATTTCCGCTTTTCAACGATTACCACGCATACAACATAAAAACAAACATGTGATTAACATATGATACATTATATGACACATGTACATTTATATAAAGTCAAACAGATATAATTAAGATCAAGTTAAAAAAAGTTTCATATACATGTATAAGCTTCTATAATTATGATTATATTTCTATACAATTATATTAACAATATATCTAAGGTTATCTTCGACAATAATAATTTAAGCATAACATCACAAACGCATTTATACATGTATATTTGTTTACATATTTCAATTTAATCGAGCTATCATACTGATAATGGTTAAGATGTCTCAGTATTTAACCCAGTATCAAACAAAATATAAGCTTTGTTAATTTGGCAATGCTGCCTAAACATGTCATTGAAGTTTTTGTGTTTATTTAGATAAAACGTTTAATTATTAAAGACTTGACAATCGTATATAAATTTACAAGCACTTTTTTGGAAAATTCATCAATGCCATATATACCCAGAACACGAGGACTTAAGATAGTTCTTTAAAACTACTCGCTGTCACGTCCATTCAGAAAGTGGTTCGCGACTATTTTGTCTTTCAAAACTATTAAGGAAAGGTGTTCGAGTCTTTTTATGTGAAATACAATTTTAGATTACATGGAAATTTAGGTCACTTGTTTGAGAACCACATTTTTTGCGTGTTATTACATCACTGCTTTGCTTCAACAACAACTTTAGCAGTACATAATGCATGTTTTGTTGAATTTAGAGAGTCGGAATTTCTCCATAATATTGATAGGCTTTTATTTGTATGTAAAAGTTTGAAGTGCACAAAATCATGATCGCTGTTAATTCTTTCTGACCATTGATGTGTATGATATTTGCGTATAGTGTTAAAAACTGTTCGTTTCCATAGTAACTTGTTAGGAAAGATTGCTATTTGTAAGTAGGATTCAATTATATAGACAAGGTTATATTTTTTCTAAGAATTCTACAGACGTCAGGTAGATATCCGCTTTGTTCACTAAACTGTCTGTTTGCATATAGGTGTTATCATGTAACGAGTAGACATAATAAGAAATGCAAATAATCTTTAAGAATGGAGACATTGAGATTTCAAAAATGTAAAACAATTTTAAAACATCAGTTGAAAAATGTATGATTTTACACGAGTCGTACTGTCTGAGATAACTTTAAAACGATGCATGAAGCTCAAGATCTAGTTACACTGTTCAAACTTGAGTAAACAGGAGGTATGTGGTAACATTTAAAACTCACACATCAAAATGATGGTCGTACATAAGTCTAAAAATATGCCGATGTTTGCTTATAGTTTGAACGCACAGTAGGATATGTTTTATTAGTACGAAAGTGATTTATACGAGTCCTAGTAACAATCAGAGATAAGACACCTGGGATAATGTTATCAGCGGTTTGACAAAATTTACGAGCAATTTGATATTATTTGAAGAGATATTTACGATACAGACACAGACGATTTTGAAAAAGAGTTGGCCTTCGACATGTATCCTACAAAAGAAGAATCATGATACGTCAATGACAGTGTGATTTTTTCAACAAAGTCGTATACTTTTGATTTAAACGTCCGTTGGTATAGGCACGTTGCTTACAAACTTCGTTATAATGTGACCAATCATAATCTGCAAATTATTGGCTAGCGTTACAGTACCGGAATAAGCAGCGTACTGCCCGGGAGCCTTCTGAAGCACAAAAAGTGTTTTTATGCCCGGGCATATAGTGATTGAACCGTCCGTCCGTCCGTCTGTCCGTACGAGGTTAACCTAGAACGGCAAGTTGG